CACACACACACACACACACACACACACACACACACACACATCTCTCTCGGTTGAAGGTTGGTCACTATGGTAGAGATTGTGCCAATAAACAACAACAACAATAGCAAATTCAATAAGTGTCATATGAAAAAGAATGTCCATTAATCTCATGCAAATGTGGGCAAAGCGATCTACTTTATCAATTACGTATGAATAGATAACGGCAAGAATATTTTGTAAAGAACTTTCTCCCATTAATTGATTTTATGCAAACCGTTTGAAATAGAAGTCATGCAGTGCTTCTTTATTTATCAAATGGTTGTACGCCGTTTTAGGTAACGGCGGAGGTTGGCTACTGCTTCTTGTACGATTGATATATACATATACTAAATTTTTGATGATTCTGGATTACATATACAAAGACTTTTTATCTTTGACACGTCGATAGCACCATGAGACACATCGCCAAACTAATTCAGCTTTTAATAACAAAGATGTCCTCGAATATGAAAACATGTATACTTGGAACACTATGATTAGTTTGATGTGTCATAGTGTTAACGGTATTTATTTTTTATCAATATCGACACATACATATTAAACGATTTTTTAGCTTCTTAGAAAAATATCATTTATATGATGGTAGTATTCTTTAATCATTATCATAACTAAACTTAAATAACTTGTTCTTTTTTTTGATGAGTTGGACAGTTTCTTTTCTTCTGTTCTTGACTTCTTCAAGTACACACGGACACGCAGAATGAAATGAATATTAACATAACAATAGATGTCTAATATTGCTGAAGATATTTATTTGTATAAGAAATTATTACATTTCGTCGTTTATTCATGTGTATAGAGCAAGACAATTAACAGATTTTTTTCTTTAGCCTCGAATGATCAGCTTCACAAACAATCTGCCTAACAGAAATTAGTTTAAAGCTTTAAAGAAAAAAAGAAATGGTTATTTAGCCCCTATAGTAGAGTGTCAAAATTTAAATTAGAATCTCACACAGTAATAAGACAAGAAGAGAGAGAGAGAAAGGGAGAAAATTTTCTAAAAAACATACCTATTTGCGATACATTTGGATGCATGTCCATTACATTTACACCTGCCTCCGACAGCAAAATCACTAACAGAATAATAATTTGATTCATAGGCCATAATATCGTTATTATTATTTATTTTTGGAATTGATGGTCGTAATTTATAGAAAACAACTTTAACATCAGTTGCCGTTACCCAATCTTGTAATACTGGACTTGTATCAAATTCATAAGCCGAAGGTCGTCCTTCGAGTGTACTAAATGCAATTCGTGATGTTGATGTTGATGTTTGATCATTATTTGCATCTGTACACAATGCTTCTTGTTCATTTGAACGTGTGATAGTTGCACGAGGTGATTTATTAAATGTTTTTAAACAATCGCTGGAATAATACTGCAATGGTATCCATGTATTACCCTTCAAATTAAAATATATTATTAAATATATTTTTGAGAGAAATATGAGAAATAACTTACCATATCCATACTTTTAAATATGGCCATTGAATCGGGTTTTATTGGTGAACAAAATTGTAAACTAATATAAGTTAATTCAAATTTTTTACGTAATGATAATGTTAATGTTACATTTGTTAAATTTGATTCTTGAAAATTTTCAGATTGCCAACATGTTAAATTTGTTGGATTATTAATATCAGTTAAATAATCGGATGAATGACTTTTTAATGGATCTGATGCATCACATATATCGCATACATTATTATTATTGTTATTATTATTTAATGCTTGACTACAATAACGTGAACGTGGATTACCACATGTTGATGAGGCAACAATATGCTTACGAAAGGCGGCATTAACAAAATCGGGTATGCAACGTTGAAAACGTCCTTGACGTTCACATGGATCTTCAACTGATGAATAAAACATTCGATACCAACGTGTCGATGAAATGGGTGAAAATAAAACAATAAATAAAATAGAGTAAATGACAATTGAATAATAATACAGTGACATATTTTTGTAATTTCAACACACTAAAGCATTCCTAAAACAAAAGTATATATAACACTCTTATTAAATTTGAAACAATAATAAAGTCTTCTCATATTAAGTTGAATTAAATAGCGTAATAAAATTTGGCAACCAACCCCTAACAGAACAAAGTTCAATTTTTACAACATGTTCATAAGAGAAAAAAAAAAGACGAGTTATAATAATTAATTTTTTTTGTTAATGTCCGACGGAGGTCACAGTGTGCATATATATGTGTGTGCGTGTGTGTGTGTAGGGAGAGAGAGAGAGAAAGATAAAATAATTAATCAATCAGATATGCATATTTTTGTTGAACACTTTATAAAGAATGATGTTATAATACTGTGTTTTTCATTATTATTATTATTATTATTATTATTATGCATATATATATATGTACAACATTTACGAGAAAGTGTTGTAAAACACATGATAGATGAGTATTGTTAAGCAAGAAAAAAAAGATGAAAAAAAAATAAAAAGAAGAAAAACTTGATGCCATTTAAAGTGGAGTAAGTATAACGTGAAAAATGAACAACAAATATTACACACCTATACATATATCCCTATTTTAAAAAAAAAGCATGTTATACAGAAGTTTTATTGTGATGCATAAATTAACTTAACGACTTAACAATTCCGCCTTCAATTTTCGAGTGAATCTACTTCTTATACGAAATGGAAACTCGTATTTAACAACGTCCTATAGAAACAAAAGTTAGCGATGTCAATACTCATATTAATATCAATTGAAGAATTCATACTATCTCTCTTATATTTTGTGAATTAAACTTGCCATCTCTTCTAGTTCGACAGATATAAATTCGTGTAGAACATTTCATTTACCTGTACTATTAAAAAAAGCAGAAAAAATTAATAAAATAGTAAAAATTATGTAGAAATATTAATCATCATCAGTATTATTACAGATATTCATTTTTTTTCTTCTTCTCTTTTTGATTATATCTTCTCATATACATATATACTAGAGCGTGCGAAATTAACGAGAGAGAGAGAGAGAGAGAGAGAGAGTGCTACTTGGACATACACATATGTACAGATGGTATTATATTACTTATTTTGTACGTGTTGGTAAGCACAAATAATACATCATCATAAAAGACTATGTGTATATGTATGTGTGGGTAGTAAAAAAAGAAAAATATCATCTATTGTAGTTATAAAACTTACTTATTGATCAAAATCATCAAAAATTGTTACAACAACACAGAAGAAGATTGTTGTCAGATACGGTGGTTTGAGTTCGCACTGTTCATATTGATGATTCAATTCTTCTTTTGATTTCTCCTTCACTATGACCATTAGGAGAAGTGATTTTTCTTTTTTACAGTTCTTTTCCGTCTTCTTTTACTTTAATTCCTTCTTGACTTCTTATTCTTTTTCTATTTTTTTTTTCTTCTTTCTCTCTTTCTCTGTCGTTCTGTAGAGCTACCAAATTTTTTTGTTTCTTCTATTCTACACGAAAGAGAGATACAGATGGAGAAAGGGAGAGAGAGAGAGAAAGAGAGAGAGAGCAGAAATCCATTAAAAACAATTCAAAATTTTTTTTCTCTACAACTGTAGAAGAGGATGCGTATATATGCTGACTGATAAAATAATTAGTAATCAGATCTTTTTAGTTTAATAGAATTACTCTTCTAATCAGTGTTTACCAATTCGATCACAAACTTTTAATTCAAAATTTGAAAGAAGTGCAGTCATATTGAATTTATGAAATTTAAGTTTTGGACTTTTGACTTTATTGTAGATGTCAAGGCAACTCTCATAAAATCTGATGCACTAGGACAAACAGCTTCTGGCAATCCAGAGATGTTTAACGATCAATTTACTACATACTTATTTTCTACTATGGATTGAGCTCAACATCTCCATGAAATATTGTTTGCATTTCTCTGTCTTTTGTTAATTACATAGCTCTATACACATATAAACATTAGATAAACTATCTCTTTTCTACTGTTCAGCATAAATTTTGTTGAACAATCATACTGTGATCAGAAAGCCATATTTGATATTATGATGATGATTGTTATTATACCTCAAATCATGTTAATGGCAATGCTTTATCTTATTATTTATATATGCCAAGTACAATAACAGCATCATAATTGTTAAGCTAATAGACAAGCGTTAAGTTGAATATTTTGGTAATTTTTCATAAATTTCTATTAAAACAACAACATTTTTTCCAGATAGAAATTCCAGGTAGAAATTTTTTGTATTTATCTGTTATGAGGTTTAAAAATCTGTTTAACCTTAGATGATATTAGTCTAGAAATCCTGATATTCTCAAACCTCAATTACACGGAATCTTTGAACTTGTTTTTAAAAACAACTATTACTACTAGATTACGTATGTTCCATACAGACCCAAGGCACCAGTTATTAGTCCTGATGGTTACAGAATACCAAATACTACGCTCAAACTACTGAAAATTAAGATCTCACTTCACTCTCATTTTGAATAGCATAGTTTAGACTATCTATTCAAATAAAGAAATCACCATATTGCCATTTCAGTATTTCAAGAACTGAGTTATTTTTTAAAAATCTTTCTAAATTCTGGTTTTAAAACGAGCCCTGAAATTTGTTTTTGTTAAGAAAAGATGTACGACGATCTCTTCTAACGATGGAAGAAAATCGCAGCTTTGTATCTCGTATTGTTGTTGAAACGTTATTCGAAAAATATTTGAGTACATTCTATTATTAATCTGAGACTTCTAACTATTTCCGTTGCTTCCAGTGGTTAGGCATGCATCGGTTAACAACTGGTGTTAGGGCTTCCACGAAAATTGTTATAAGTCACCTATAAAGAATTACTTAGAGTCACAGAACCTCTCATTTTGCAGAGAAATGTTTGCTCTTGAAAACTCAACTGTTAAACAAATTTGAAGTTATTTCTAGCAAAATATGAGCATTCTAAAATGCCCTTAAGTTCGAAAAACAACTGTTCAACAGTTTTTTTCCTGTATTTAGTGCATTTTAGATTTAGAATGCTCATATTTGTATCACAGGTAACGTTGAAATTTTTCTACTTATACGGGATTGTAGTCCAGACATTTCTCTACAAAATGAGAGATTCAGCGACTCTGAGTAATTCTTTATAGGTGACTTATAACAATTTTCGTGGAAGCCCTAACACCAGTTTTTACTGATACATGCCTAGCAGCGATTAGACTAGACAAATCGAAGATCGCCACCAACTATCCTGATGCAATGGCAAAGGATTATCTGAGACCTTCTGAATAGCACGTAAGACGTATTTAGCTAATCTCAAAAATAAATCAAAACATAGTTTATCGATCATACTATATCTCATTAAAGTGTTTATCTGGATAAAAAAGTTTAAATACTTACTGTAATCTATTTATGACACAATAAGCAATTTACGATTATTCATAGAAATGTAAGAAACTCATCTTGTTTATAAGTGAAATGGCAATAATTTTGTCATAGAAGTATGTAATTAGATCTTGACTACATATTCGTGAATATCAAAGATCTCCACCTGCTTTTCTATCAAAATGTATTTAGAAAAGTTTGGCCTCGATAGAAGAATCTTATGACTCGAGCAACCACTTGGGTGGTTTTAAACTCAGAAATTTTTTCTTAAGATTGTAAAAAGATGACTCTCACACTACAGAATAGAATGAAAATATATATACGGAGAAAAAGTATTATTTCTTATGCACATAGCATTGCACTTTTTATATTGTCATTTTATCTGATCCAAACACCATTCCTGGCAACGATATATCGATTTATAGTATTCAAATTAATAATGATGACAGGAAACACTGAATATTTTAATATGTTTTACGTAAGAATAATGAAATAATTTTGATTATAAATTAACAATCAAACGATGTTATTGATAACATGATAATAGTAGAGAAGTATAAGTTTTGATAAAGATAATTTTTTCAGTGTGCCATCACATTATGAATACTAATCATGACACTAGTTTGTTTGATTGAATATCGCTCGTTAACACAATTTCAATTGAATTACATGACAATATATTCTATTTCGAATTAATTGATTTATTTTATTAGACTGTCCCAAGCGTAAAAAAAAATCTAGTATCGCCCAGTTCATCTAGATTACTAGATTTTTACTCGATTGCAACTATTGGGTAACGATAGTGGAAATCTAGTGATCTAACAGCTTTTTGTAAGCACAATTTGTTATTAAAATTTTCAGAATCAAATGTTTTTAAAATAGTTAGTTAAAGTAGTTGAACGAGTAGAATAGAGCAGAATGCATAAGGCTACTAGCATACAGTCTTCGACTGTAGATACCAGTTGTTCAAAAAACATTTTTTTCCCTATGCTCAACTGGTTACTAAGGGCCACACATACCACTTTGTACAGTTTTTCATTGTCTATTTTTCTGTATCAAGCTTTAGCCTATCTCTACCTTGGATTTGAAAAAAATCATATTTTCTTAAACCTTAGTGTATTTGACATACCCAAACAAACATCATCTATGGGAAAAACCTAGATACATTTCGTCTGTAATCGGGCGATACACGACTAGTTGCCATCTACATTACCAGTTGGAAAAGGACTTTTAACTAGATGTGTCTGCATGTGCAACTAGCAATAGTTAAATCGATCGATTATCGGGCGATAAATCGATAGTTGCAACTAGAAGAAATCTAGCGGTCGCTCGATCACTAGATTTCCACTGTCGTTACCCAATAGTTACAATCGAGTAACAGCCTAGTAATCTAGATGAATTGGGCGATACTAGATTTTTGTTTCTGACGCTTGATTGCCGTCACAAAACTCACAATAAAAGACTTTCGATGAGGTTTCTAAAATTTGACTATACTGAAAAATGCGCAGAAACATTTTCTCTACAAATTCTAA